AAAGAGAGAGGGTTTTGTTTTCTGAAAATTTGTCCTACGTGTTTTGTTAATGTATTTTCCCAGCCTGATGTCACACCACATACACTCTTGCATGCACTACCACTCACACAGTGGGAAATCTTGCTACCCCCCACCATGCCTCCAGGTGTCTGGTCCAAATGTCAGCCCAGGGAAAAGGGCCCATCCGCTGGGGCAGCGAGGGGAGAAGCTCCCCCCGCCCTTCCCAGCTCACTGGAGGCATGTGTGCCCGCACAAAAACACGCTCACACACACATTATGCAAACAAACAAAGAGACACAAACATCTCCCTCTTCCCTTTTTCTCTAATAAGACTCCAAACAAACACACACACACACTGTGCCAAACGGAACAAGTGGCTGGCTGACTGAAGAGGGTGGAGCAGAAAAATACATTTAGTTTTTTGTGTCTGTTTATCCACATAGTAGGGAAGCTAATGTGTGAACCTAATTTACAAGTTGCAGTCAGAGAGAAATACAAAGCAGGCAATATGAATATGGATTTGTTTTGATTAGAACAGCACACTGGGAATCGCGATGCAAAGAAACTGGTTATGCTATGCACATCGATTCAAGAGCTTATTTAATTTAGGAGGACAAAAAGTAAGAAAAGGTAAGGGCAAGAAGGGAATGTGGAGGAGAACATACAAAACATTTGAGCAATAAAGAGCGAAAGCTTTGATATATAATTATGTAAATCAAAAGCCAGCTTGTGTTATTCAATTATAACTAGCATTTGTGTTTTTTTTACCAGAGAAATCACAGGTATGAAAGGTTAAAACTAAAGGTTGAATTTGAAGTAAATAGATGATTGGACCCTACCATTCTGAAAAGTATGTGCCTTGATCTGATACATTATAGTTTGTATCTTTTTTTAAAAGAGCACAACACAGCAGCAATAGTTTTATCATGCACCAGAGGCACTTTGGTGTCACAGACATAGCAACGAGGCAGTGTCATGTATGAAAGTTAGCAGGAAATTGTGTGTGCGCGCGCGCGTGCGTGCGTGCGTGCGTGCGTGCGTGCGTGCCCACAGCTCACCTGGTTTCAGGTTCCTCTCCTGTAGCACTGACAGCCACTTGGCCCCGGTACCAAAGATAGTGATACTGAAGGAAAAAGAGAGAATTTTGTTTCAAATATCAATATGAAGGATCAGTAAAGCACTATTTCTATCAAAACATGCAAATAAAAATACATTATTTTGGGGGTAAAATAGGAATTTGCGTCATTGTTGCGAACAATGGCAGCCATTGCCAAAGCCCTCCTACATACTTGGTCTGTATTCTGTATTATGACAAGTATAAACTTTTAACAACAGAACAAAATGAGCAAACATTATGACTCATCCTTTTGTATGTAATGAATGTTATTGCCAAATTCCATGGCAATCCGGCCGGTTTGGAATATTTAGCTCAAGACCATAATATTGGACAGTTAATTGGATGAACAGAAAGGCAAACAAACTATGTGACATCTGTTTGTAATCGCTGTTTATGCTGGGAATTGTGTCCATCAAAATTAAACAAGTAGCAAAGCTCTACTCCAACAAATAAATTGACTGCATTAGGATGGGGACGAATACTATAGTATACATGGTTCCCAAAACGTCTTAAACATCAAATTCAAGGCACAACTCCTTCAATTTCAAGGACCCATCATGGTAAAGTTTAAGACAAGGATCAAGGATCATTTATGTTGCACTTTCTCAAGTCATGTGACCGTTGATACAACATCGCAACTGTGAGGGACACGCATGCAGACATAGCCTATCTACTTTTCTTAGACAAAAACCTATATTGACCATGTTTAGTGGCCCGTGCAATTTTATGTTATTCTTTTCAAAAGCTTTCAGGGACTTTATTATTTTCACTCAAATTCACAAACTTTAAATGGGGGCCAGGTGTATAGCATATTAGAGAAAGGTTGAATGAAATGTTTTTCTTTGCTTTGTGTCATGGTTCTAAATGAAACTATTGTTTGCAGCATGTGGATAACATAATTCATATTCTTCCTGTCAACAAAACAATGTGGGAAAAAAATAATTCTGATAAAAGGCTTTTATTCTTAAGCTCGAAAATGACATTCCCAGAACAAATGACTAAATCTTCACTTCTAAAAAGGGGTAAATTAATAATCTTTTTTCTCAAAGCAATGTTCCACAAGGAGATGGTTCAGAGTGGAAACTGTATTGAAAGGATGTTTGCACACGGCAACTCTGTAATGAAATGATGTTTGAAGGTGTCTTTCTTCTGTGCGAATGGAAGTCCTCCTGACACCTGACAACAGTTGGACAACATGTGGAAAGCATGAAGTGACAAAACGTCACTTCTGTGTTCCCCTGCAGTTTTAATTCTAAAACAAAGGGCTCTTTAAAGTCTGCCTCGGTGAATGGGTGTGTTTGTGTCTCAGTCTGTGTCTTCAAGTTATTTTTGTTGACATCAAATCAATCAAATTGCACCCTATCACAACGGTAACCATGTCTGTCAATCAAAACAAGATCAAAAAAAGAATCCGTCTCTGGGATACAAAACAACTGTCTGATGATTGATTGGTCAATAACCAGGAATTGGTTGGCACTGAAAGATGTGATTTGCTCTCAGATGTTCAAATCAATAAGTGGTAATTGGGTGAGGGAAGCAGTGGGGGGGGTTAGATAGGGTGAGAGGGCAAAGGTTCAAAGAAGTAATATCTCAAAAGGAGTCGTGTGAATGATGCGTGTACTGGCCCAACACACACACACACACACACACACACACACACACACACACACACACACACACACACACACACACACACACACACACACACACACACACACACACACACACACACACACACACACACACACACACACACACACACACACACACACACACACACTTTCCATGCTGTCTCGTAAGCCTCACCTTTGGTCAACAATGAACCTAAGCCAAAGTATTGTTGTTGAAATCATTCAATAGGTCATATTACTTCTTATCTTATTTACTTCCAAATCTCTGGATTACTAAGAAATGAATGTCTGTGTTGTCAAACTCAGCCAATAAACAGGCTTGGGGAGTAATGAAGTCACTCTCTCCATCCTATCCATCATCCCGCACCCCGCCCACCTCTTACACGTCTGTCTTTGTTCGTTGCTAGCGACAACTGATCGGGTCAGTGTGTTCTGATTGGAGGCAGGTGGCCAGGTGTGGCTGATAATTGGATGTTTAGGATGGACGGTTGAATAGTAGCTGTGTGTCTCTTGTTTGTGAGTGTGTGTCTGCACTTGTAAATGTACGAGTGTGTCTGTTTCAAGGGAGACATGTTAGTGGAAGCTACCGGGCCAATAAGATACACTCAAAGCCAATCAGACACAAGAGCCCCTCGGGCAGCAGCTATAACGTTAATGTGTCTCTGTGAGTGTCATGAAGTACAAACTGAGGTCCCTCTTCTCAGTGCATGCTTTCTAAACTACTTTCGCACTTATCCTTCACCCCGGGAAGAATTGTAATATAAAAATGCGCCATTACTTTCTTCTCAGACGTCAGGGGCGATGAGGAACAGTTTGAAACCTACGTCTGATGGTGTAATTGGTTACCTATTTGCAATATTAAAAGTTTGAAGCTCTACATCAATTTTGAGAATCAATATACGGAAAATGTACAAGAGGGATTGTTCAGTATCATTGACAGCCTCTATATCAGGGTGTTAGTGCTTTTGTTTCTAAAGTTAGACCAATTTCCTAAGAACCCTGTTGCTTTCAGTCACTAACATGATTCTAATACTGAGCCCCCCTCCTGGCGATGTAATTGTTCTCTCTTGTGAGTTTCTGAAAGGACAGACATGTTAAGAATGACTTTTCCATCAGCCCTCAACTCTTTCTGTCATCTAGAATTGTGAGGCCTTTTCTGTTTTGTTTTATAAAATATTCTCATTTTGTGCTACAATCTAACCCGGTGCAAGAAAATCAAAAAAGGCAAAGCAGAAGACAATATGGCTCAAAATGAATGTAGACATGTACAGTAAACCTAAGTACTTAAAAAACAATGTTATTGTTTGGTTTGTGAATTGATTTTGTGTACAAAAATTGATGAAGACTTGAGTCTTTAGTTTACAAAATGTAGAGCTTGAAGACAAGAGGATATCTGAAACACGGTTGGTAAGATGCAATCTGCTCAACTTTATCTGCACTCATGTCCTTCAAACTGGGAATTTTGCATTTGCAAGACACAACACTTTTATCATTGAAAAAGTAAAGGAATGCTCTTTCTGACATCTTAGCTCAACATATATTGGACAAAAGATGGAAGAGACAAGAAGCTCCTCAGAGAATACTGATGTCTCATTCAAACACATAAACCTGTCACAGAATACATTGTGTAACCTTTTGCTTGCTTTTCCCTCGGCTATTTCACACATTTTTGTGTTTTACATGAATATAGTTTATTTTAGAGTCATTGAAATCCATCCAATACATGTTGTGGCTTATGTTCTCTATATACAGTAAGGGTCTTTCTGGAAATACCATTGTGGACAGAGAACTTCCTCAGCATCTTGTATTAGTCTCTCTCAAGCATCCTTAATATGTCGTGAAGCACAGAAAACTACTGGAGAACTACAAACAAACACAACTCTCCTGAGACTTTCCCAATTTGCAGGCTTCCAGCACCTTTGACTTTTTTTCCAAAAGCAGAAAGTCTGCAATAATCAATTTTTAGCAAAAGGGGCTTGTTGTGTAAAAGTACAGTACCAGTCCTTTCCTATAATTGACAATGCAATCTTCAAAAACCTATCTATAAAGAGATTTAAATCTGGCAATGTCAGTTTTAAGGCTTGACTGAGCAGAAGAATTCAACATCGGGAGTAGTTATTACAATTCTAACTAACCAACAAAAGTCAAGAAGAAGCCTCAATGTAAGTTTAAGACTGACAGGTTTAGCCCCAATTAAAATGTCCAACCCCAATTCAGAGGAGAGTGTAAAATATTTCTTGTCAGCCTCCCCCAGAGGGTCTTTCCACATAGCGTTAGGATGTGGAAAACGTGTCTGAGGTGGCAACATCAGCACTTAATTGGTTCAAAAATCTCACTGTTTAAATAGTTTGGTCTGTTCATCAGTCATCCTGGCAGCCCTCCATTGAATTCCTCTTTGAGGATTCATTTTGTTTTTGTATTTTACCCTTGAACACACTTGTTTTTCCAATTGAAAATATTTGAGGGAACAAAGCAGAGAGGTTAAAAGCTTTAGACATGTAAGTGATTAAACAGCTACTAAAAACCAATCAAAAATGTTAATGTTACTCAATCCTGACCCAATCCCGACTATACCAGTTATTTTAACAGGATACCAATCATCAATGGAGGTTCCTAATATATTGTAATTGATGTTAAAATCGACTAGTAAAGTTGTGGAAGGAGCTCATTATATTTGGGATTTACAAGCAGAGTTTTTGCAGGAGAAGTACTTTTGCTCTTTATTTCCCACTACTCTTTATATGCGTCACATTTGTATCCCCATTATTCCCTTCCTTCCTTCCCTTCCAATATGCCACTCCTGCTGCACTGTCTATGGTACCACTTCCTTAAAAGGGTATTACTTTTGCTGACCACAGTGCAAATGGTTTGTCATAATTTAACTACAGGTTGACTGAGATAGCTCTCAGGTTGCTTAAGGTGGTGGGGTTTGAGGGGTAGAGAGTTTCTCATGGAATTCTTCCACCCCTTTTTTAAATGATAATTTGTTGAAAATATCAAAAAGGTTAGCAGAGGACACACAGTTCTTCATTCCAGCAATGTTGGTAGCACTTAATTATAAATTAATCATATGTATATAAATATAAACAAGTAAATGGTTTGCATCAATCTGCGCTGGCAAACTGTGTCGGTATCATTCCATTGAATTTTAGGCAATCTGGCCACTTTTATCTAGAGTCATATACTAAATAAATGACTGAGTGAATGCATTTAAATTCTAAATACCATATGACACAAGGACTTTCTTTAAAACAAATGATAAAGAGAAATAAAATGGCCTTCTCTGGGGAGAACTAACACACTTACCTATCCACCTTTTAGACGTATATAGACCTGAACAATGGAACACATTAGATCTGAGCCAATTAATTGCCTGCCTGCACACATTCACTCACTCACACTTTTGTCCTTGACCGTTTCCTCTCTTTTCTAAAGACAATAGAAAATCAATACTTGGTTTAGAATCCGCTGTTTATGTTGGCGATGGGGGAGGATTTCAGGACATTTACATGCCAATCTGTTGGGATGTCCACCTACCGTGTCTGAAAATATGTCTTGAATAAAAAATGAAAGGGGATATATAGTATTAAACAGTACAGTAGTGGGTGTAAAGTAGCATCTACTTCTCAGTATCACAAGTATATTTGTAATTGTGTTACCTCAACATACATTTCTACGATAGATTCTGCATAAGAAAAGGGAAACATTTTCTCAAATATGGAATCTGTAAAGTCCCCATTGAGCCATTTTATTGTGTGAACAGCCTCTGACTAGATTGTAAACTTTAGGTTTCAGCCGTCTTGTAGTTTGACCCGGGTTTCACTATCAATCTCAATAACAACAGGCTCAATGGATGGCTGACCCTGCTGCCTTAAAGCAGCTTGTTCAGCTAAATACAGCACATCAATGCTCTTTCAAAATAACTGCCAGGCAGCTCATATGGGCTTATCAAAAGCTATAAATAATGTATTTGTATGCTTGATATGTTTGGAAATTAATGAAGGATTATGCTTCCTCCAATTCTCAATGCAGAGACACTCTCAAAACTTCTTCCTGGTGACTTCACATCCAGTTATAATAAGTCTGTTACTATTTTCCAACCATACACCAAAATAATAATCGTTCTTATCTTCCATTTCCCTGCCTTTTTCATTCATTTTCTCCTTTTTGTCTCTTTAATGGCCAAGACATCCTTTCCCCCTCGGTCTTCTCATTTAAATGAGGAGTGATACATTAATAAGTAAATAATGAAGGGTTATTGTATGATCAGTTGCTGTGGATCTCCGTTCTCCATACAAATAATAACCGGCAGAAATCTTTATTCATAGGTCGGCTCTTGTATGCGTGTGTGTCCAAGTTGTCAATTAGGCAAACACATTACCAATTCTGTGGTTGAAAACAAAATCTCCAAGGAAAACCTTACCCTTTGCTTGTGCTGTCTTTCCCTCTCTGTCAGTCTGTCCAAATCCCTCCTTCTCCTTTGCATCGTCTGGGTTTCTTCCATTCTTTCTCTATGAGTCTCTTTTCTCTTCATTTAAACCAAGTATTAGATTAAAGGAATATATAGTGGTCTAATGTCAGGTCATTTGTGTTGACAATGAAACATAGGTTGGGCTACGCTACACTTATCAGAAGCTACACTATCTATCGGTTGAAAAATGTTGGATAAAAACAGATAAATTGTATTTGTATTCAAAACCCCTTCATTGCAAATGTGTTTTCAAAAGGGATTTTATTTCATTATGTGTTTAAAATAATCATCTACAGACAGAAAGCAATAAACAGCACAACAATTTAGTTATTGTTTTTTTTGCGTGTGTGTGTCTATGTGTTAAACTCACCCCAGCTGGTCCGTCAGGTCCCACAGTACATTGGGTGTGGGTATTAGTGGTGAACCGTCATATAAAACCACAGAGGCTCCAACTGCCAGAGCAGACATCAGCCAGTTCCACATCATCCAGCCAGTCTAAGGACAACACACACACACACACACACACACACACACACACACACACACACACACACACACACACACACACACACACACACACACACACACACACACACACACACACACACACACACACACACACACACACACACACACACACACACACACAGTGACCCAGTGGTCAGTTTATCTGGTAAAAACAGTCCTTTTCCATCAACACGGATAAGTGGGTAGCAAAATTGAAAACCCCTGCAGAATGTGAGTTATGCTTCTGTGATTCACATAATTACAAGCCCGGACAGCATGTGGGTATTGTTTCCTACCTTTTTCTCTGTGTGTGTTTGTGTGTGTGTGTCCATAAAAAGCAATAAACTCTACTGTTGTGCAGTATAATAATAATAATTTATATAATACAATTATTGTAATTATAAAATTACAATTAGTGGTGAAACAATAGGTAATGTAATATATTAGTTGACTGAAATAAATGCAATAAATCATTTTTGGTCTTTTATCAACACACATTTGCTGGGTCAAGCTTTTGACAAGATTTGAAGCTTTTCTATCATTTCTAAAAATAAATAAATAATTTGACTAACGGTCGCATAACACAAGTTATAAGTCTACGTTATTTCAAATTGAAAACAAAACTGGCATATCGTAGAATAAACTAATAATCAGTTAAATGGATCAAGCGATTAATATATGATGAAAATAATCCGTAGTTGCAGCAGAAATTTAGATACAGGTCGACTTAACAGACATACATGAGTCATACTTTATTTTTTAAGACATAAGGCAGTAATCCTAAAACTTGACAGAATCAATTTCTTAGTCAAGATAATGTGAGGTTTGCCCATTTATGTATTTGATTTTGAATTTAAAATGTGCACTAATCATGTGTAAAACCGACATAAACACTACCCCAAACAACTGTTTCAGCTTTAATCAACATTAAATGATGTTTCTCAGAGTGTATCATCAAAAGGAGCTAGATTTTTTGAGTAACAACAAGAAATTATGCGCAGCTCTGACCTTCTGTACTCAATGCTGCTCATTAGACAAGATCGGTGTGTGTGTGTGTGTGTGTGTGTGTGTGTGTGTGTGTGTGTGTGTGTGTATATATATATATATATATGTATATATATATATATGTGTGTGTGTGTGTGTGTGTGTGTGTGTGTGTGTGTGTGTGTGTGTGTGTGTGTGTGTGTGTGTGTGTGTGTGTGTGTGTGTATATATATATATATATGTATATATATATATATGTGTGTGTGTGTGTGTGTGTGTGTGTGTGTGTGTGTGTGTGTGTGTGTGTGTGTGTGTGCTTGAGTGTGCACTTGAGTGTGCGCTTGAGTGTGCGTGTGTAACCAAGTTCATGATTAAAAACAACCCACAATACCTGGTAACCAAGATGAGACGAAAAGGGATTGTGTACATACCGTGGTGTAGTAAATGATGACATCACTGCTGGTCATATTGCCATGGAGAATGTGTTCTTTCAAGTGCTGGATGAGTGTTCCCTGCAAATACAGAAAAAGACAGAGAGATTATTAGTTGTTTTTAATTGACTAGTCCGTTAGTCATTCAATAGAAAATAATAACTTACTGACTTTGTAGATGATCTATTAATCATGGAAGTAATTATTCCTGTAAAAGTGTCATGAAATGTTTTTTCGGGCCACTCCAATATGGAGAAATTCTGCTCTTGCAATAAGACTGCTAAATACCTGAGCTCTGTTAAGTGCCCCGATAAACATGAATCTGTTTGTCATCTTGCAATCTACTTATATATATATATATATATTATATATAAATAGTTATCATCGCAATAAACCATATTTAATTTGTGTTAATATTCTGTTCTTGTACATCATTTATATTCTATTTACATGTATATAGACTTCTTGCACTATTTTTTATTCGTATTTTTGTATTCTATTATATATTTTGAATTGCTTGAGGAGCTCGGGTCAGAAGATATTCTGGGGTGTGTGGTGCAGTGGGTTGTGCGTTGGTGTTTGGATCAGGGGGTCACAGGTTCAAACCCCGCTGTAATCAGCATGTAGTTGTGTCCCTGAGACACTTCACCCCAAATTGCTCCTGATGGGATTGCCCACAGTATTGAGTATGTAAGTCGCTTTGGATAAAAGCGTCTAACAAGTGACATGTAATGTTCATCGCCATTTCTACACTGTATAAGATAAGATGGACCTTTATTAATCCCTGTGGGGAAATTCAGTAGTTTAACAGCAACAGGTTAAGGATGAAAAACAGGACAGCACGGATTAATACAATTAAGGATAAAATCAAAGATAAAAAAACAAATGATAAAATAACTATACAATTATATATATGTGTGTGTATGTTATGTGCATATGACAATAAAACCTTTGAATCTTATGTATCCTATATCACTGAATATCTTTAAGTTTTGGACTGACAACAAAAAATATCACCTTAAACTACATTTTCTGGCAGTTTTTTCATAAAGCAAATATTAAAGTAATAAAAATGAAAATAATAACAATTGTATTGACTGTTTAAGGTTAATGTTAATAATTTCATTCATGACACGAAAGATGTCTCTGTCAGACCAAGACTTACAGTAACACACAGCAGCACTTGTTTTGACAAAAGGGCAATTTGTGTGAATTGTCCCGCAGTCACGAACCTGTCACAGTTGGATAGGTTATTATTGCTGGTGTGGAGTATAAACTGTGGGAGCGTGTGTGTGGCTGTGTGTGTTTTAGTTTTGAGCCTTCATGTGTACTATCCTGTCTGCATTAACAGGTGCTCTGTGTGTCTGTGTGTGTGTGTGTGTGTGTGTGTGTGTGTGTGTGTGTGTGTGTGTGTGTGTGTCCCCAACGTTAACACCTTCGCACTCAAATTAGCGTTAACTGCTCCCACCAACCCGACGTCCGTTCAATGCTTTCATGTTAAGCGATTAGGAGGGGGCCCCCCCCCCCCCGGCCCCCCGGGCGGGGCCACAGGCGCAGCGGGCGCGCGGGCCGCGGGGGGCCGGGGGGCCCAGGCCGGGCGCGACAGAGAAGACGGGGCGCAAAACCCCACCACCAGCGCCGCGGGCGCACACAAAAACAAAAGCCACGCGGCAGGCGGGCCCAACGAGCCCAGGCGGGCACGCGCGCAGCCTAGCTAACTAACGAACGATACCAACAACTCGTTACACCCGTCGACCGCGTTGATATACACCACCTATATTCAACCATAAAATCCAGATTACAACAATACAACCCTAACAATACGTCATTATAGCAAATCTCCTAAACCACCCTCCAGACGCGAGTTTTAATAAACCGCACTCAGCACACAAATTAACACCATAAACATAAATAAGACAACTACTACGCTAAACTATACCATCTTACCCATCCTCATTCCATGCTCCATCCCATAGCTAAACAATACACATCTAATGAAAAACCCATAACCAAAAAGTCAAACTTAAAAATACTGCAAGCGTCCACCCCATTAGTCTGTACAAGTTCTTTGCCTATCGACCCAGTCTCCTACATAAATTAACGATAATCATGGTTATTTACTACAAAGTTTCAGTTACTTATTAGCATAAATATTGGCACTATAGTTAATGAACTGTTTTATTAGCGCTAATACGTAGATAAGCGAATTAGCTTCCGTCGGGAGATGAGAAGGTAGTAACGCAGAAGTGAAGGAGTCTAGGAGAAATAAAAGACGGGAGCACGCCGGGCGTATAGACCTTGTCATTGCACGCCAACCACTCGGGTTTTGTGATAGCATCCGGCTCCGACCGTTCGCAGGGAGAGACGGAGTGGTTAAATCGTAGCCGTGAACCAACAGTGAAAGACGAACAATACCGAGACAATTGTACGACGAGTCATCCGTTCTACCGTGCGGACGTGTTCTTACCCCTTTTCCGTCTACTCAGGACGGTTTCTAAGTGCGTGCGGTGCCGCCGCCGTGTGTGTGTGTGTGTGTGTGTGTGTGTGTGTGTGTGTGTGGTGTGTGTGTGGGTGTGTGTGTGTGTGTGTGTGTGTGTGTGTGTGTGTGTGTGTGTGTGTGTGTGT